TTATATTAATTTATCAATTTACACCAAATTGAATTACATTTGCTGTAATATACACATAACTTAGTGTGCAGCAAGAGCAGGAGACGAAATTATTAATGATCATTGAGGAGACTTGAAATGGAAATTATAGATTCTCAATTGAATTTGATTTATAATTAAAATAAATATATTACCAATTTTGGCTGTTTTTGACCTGACTCAATTATTTGAAGTTAATAACTAGATTTTTGTTAAGAATCTAGATGTATTCTTAAAGAAATTGGGGAAGATTCCATTAAGCTATATCTCTGCTCCATTTGCAATACCTTAACCTGGTCTCCCCTTTATTTCCGTATAGGGTATATATATATTTATTTCCTGTTTTTATTTTAGAGTATATCTAGCGAAAAGCTTTTAAAAGTGTTCCTTGGCTGAATGCAAAATGTGTGTAATGAAATAAATTAATTGCATGAAGTTGAAAATTGCGGCCAAGAGAGGCGTTGGTTGGGCCAATTGCTCGATTGCGTTGGGATTAGGTTGGGTCGACTGGGAGGGATCGGCGCTATGAACACTCCAATGAGCGCCAGACGTTTTAAACTGTGTGCAGCTCGAATGGGAGCTGCTGGCTGAGAGTGGCGGCAGGCCAACTGGGAATGCGACTGCAGGCGGCAGTGGCAAAAGTCATTTGCATTTATAAATTGGCTTTTCGCAATTCATGAGCAGAATGTCAACCGGGCGCCTTTGGGCGGGAGCGAAACGCCACAAAATGGCATGGAGTGTCAGCCATGGCTAAATTGTGCACTTGTGCATGCAAATGGACGCCAGCACGAATTGCAGCCACCAATAGCAACAGCAACACCAACAGCAACAGCTACAGATGCAGACGCTGACGCAGACGCGTCTCTGCCCCATTAGCCAGGACGCCAAGCGCACAACTAAATACATTTATATGTAAAGTACTAATAAAACTTTAGACATGTGCCAGGCAAACTTAGGCACAAGAGACCAAAATGCCAGCTGCCGGAGGAGCAGACACACTTCAAAGAACTTTCAAACATATGGCTGCAAGTCAGGAATATTGATTTGATCTGTGTTTATAATCAGCGCGAGCTTGAATAGCTCCAAGCTCCAAGCTCCAAGCATGCACCAGATTATGCAAAACTAAAACTAATTTACATTTTAAGTGTTTGCTGATAGCCAAGTGCAAGTAATGGAATTTGTATTGGATCTTTAAGTGATAACAGTTTCAGCAAGCACTTAAATTGTCCATATTGTTTAAGCAATTTATTCTTTGGAAATTGCTTTCAATTCAATCAAAAGTTTTGCCATAGAAATTGCAGCAAAGACTGTGCCATATGAAACGATGTTTTGTCTTTGAGTTGAGTTTTAATTGGATTTTTAAATGGTAAAGCGATGTAGAAATATTTCTGTTTATGTGCTGCCTAATCTATTAATAATAAAAATCGTTGAAAATAATTTACAAAAATTATTTAGAATTAATCAGAATTATTTTCTAATTACCAGAGTTTGAATAAAAACTATTAGATATGCGAATTCGACATGCTTAAGAGATGCTTAGTTTTATGATAGTTGGATTTTATGATAGTTGGATTTTGCAATAAATGATAGGATTATAAATTAAAAAAAAGGAAATAAAAATTAAATTAAATTTTAGCTATAAACAAAAAACTTATCAACTCGAAATAATTTAAAAATTTCGAGTACCATATTAAATTGAAAATATAAAATAAACACAAATGACTTGATGATTCGAAAGCCGTTTCTAAGCAAATTAGCCTTCAATGTGGCTTCAACTTGATTGCATAGCAAAACGAAAGTTCCATCAACTAAAGCCATATATATAAACTTTTCGCTTACCAAAAACTAGTTAATGAAACGCTGCAACGTTTTTTTAAACCATATTTCAAAACAGTAAATAAGCAAAGCTGAAATCAGTTGAAAACTCAATATCCAAGTTAAGCCCCGCATAGAAAGTTGAAGAAGAGCAAACAACAACAGCTGCGTGCTTGGAGCTCATTTACATTTGCCGAGAGTTGGGCTAGGCAAACAGGCAGCTCAATGCTGTAGCATATTAAACAACAACAACAGCAACAACTGGGATCATAAAACTAATAGCAACAGCAGCAGCAGCAGCAGCTCTGATAGAAGAGCGCAAAAAAACATTACGCATACGCCATGTGGCCACTCACCTGAGTTCGCCGTCGTTAGTTTATTGCCGCCAGCCGGTGTGCCCTGTCCCATTGCCGACGATGGCTTCTTGTGATGATGATGATGATGGTGATGATGCTTCTTCTTGTTCTTGATGATGATCTTGCGCCGCAGCGCAGAGGGCGGCGGCAAATCCACATTCGGCTCCAGCGGATGCGAGTCGAGCGGCTTATCCAACAGCATATCGCCAAAGATCTCACGGCAATAGTTCGCAATCTTTGCCTGCAAAATGTTGCAACAACATTAGTTTGGCTAACTGGCTGTTAACTGAAATTTGATGAACAGCCTTCGTAAGCAGCTGGCCAACTTTCATGGTCCCCCCCTTCGCCCTTTCTCCCTCTCTTTCCCCATCAGAATGCTAGCCTGCCTGCCTGCCTATGTTAGTTACATGTTCCCTATGGTAAATTTAGTTTATGTAACTACTTTTAATGGTAAAACTTTAACCAGATGCCTGTGCCGCCTCCTGCACCTGTGCAGCTGTTCGCCAGCCCCACGTGGCCCTAAAAAAGTTTGCCTTTGTTATTATCTCGTGGAGCTAAAGCATCAGCCAATTACCTTTCGAGTAGCTGCTGAGATTTACTCAGCCACACGGCAGCTGAGCTGCGCAATATTTGAGTGGGGAGGCGGGGCTCACACTGGTTGGATGGTAGGCGCAGGCCGGGTGGGGGCGGGGGCGTGGCACTGTGGAATCCCTCTGGGTGGTTGGGTATACATACATGTGAACGGGTAAGTTTTTGCTTTGTTTTTTTTTTTTTGTTTGCCTTCTGACGAATTGTTTGACTAATGCGAGAGGGGGGAGAGGTGGGCAGGAGCGTGCTAGGGCGGTAGGGGATCGAGCGCTGTTGGAGATTCCAGCGTGTTGTAATATTTGCTAAATACACGAAGTCAAAAAATTTGAGTCCTGTTCAGCGTGATTACCGTGTTGACGTGACATAAGTCGTCCTAAGTCGAGCTTAGACATGATAAGCCGCGTTTTCATGTCGACTTTAGCTGCGGCAGAGCTCTGCTCAGATATGGCAAGTTCTCTTAGAGAGTTCTGCTCAGTTAAGGAAAGTCATGTGTCTAAAGTCGGCAAAGGAGTGTGTAGATAATAGGTATGATAAGGTAATTTAATCTTGTATCATATTTGAATAATCGAAGCTAGTTTGCATTTAGAGGGATTTCAAGTTATGATGACTAGATTAAGCTGCATGAGTTGACTTCTTTTATATTCACTACGCTATAATCATTCATGTCTAAGGGATGCCTGCTCGTTTCACTTATTAGTTATGCTCACTTATGTAGAGCTATTTTCACTTCATTTAAATACAGGGCGAGGCAGAGGCAATCGGCCTATTTGGAGCTATAGCCTTTACAAATGTCGCCAAATCTCAATTCGGTTTGATATTTTAGAAGTAAACATATGCAGGATATAAAGCGACAAGCCATGCAAAGGCTTACAGCGCTGGAGCGATGGAATGACGGAATTACTTCCGGGTCGCTTAATCTCTCATTTTTAGCAGGTCAAGTCATATGACTTAACCGTTTCTGAATTTTTATTAGACTCTTGAAGTGATAAATGAGAATATTCACCAGCAGAGCAATCATCTATCGCCCCAAGCTCTGCCAAGAGTGATGTAAAATGTCGTAAAACGGACAACTCTAGCGGCGACTACTTGACGGCTATAATTTTTTCAATTAGACGGAATAGCGCTAAAGGATTAAATAACTCAAGCAGAACAATTGTTATTAATGAAAAAATAACTTTGCTCCACCCGGTACAAGGCTATTCAATCATATGTTATACTCCCTAATAACATTTATATAACTTTATGCTCAATCGAGCTATTCAAGCTCTTCGTGTTCTTCGTGCCCATCGTGCTTTTCGTGCACACATATCTAATGCGCCCCACATTCCAATTTTCAGCACAGCGCACGCTGTTAGCTCAGGGCAGGGGACATGGGGTTGGCTTTTCGTTACCGTTAGTTTAGGACAAGTCACTTTTCGCCAGCAGCGGCAGCTGTCGAAATGCGGGCGCCCATTCATTGGCCCCAAGCTAACTGTGTGTGGGACTTACCTGTTGCCTGGGATTGCAGTGATTCTCGAAGCTCAATATCACAGGGTATTCGGATGTTTTAAATGCGCTCTCCGCGATGGCCTCCAGCACGTCCTTGGCATAGATTTCGGGCACAAACGTATAGCCGTGCACAATTACCGGCTCCTCGGTGCGTCCGTTCCAAAAGTCCAGCTCAACGCATCTGAGTCAATAAAAAAACAAAGCAAGCAGTGAAGCAATGTCTGATATCGACAAACAAGTGGAAGCCATCAAATTAACTGACGCCGCAAATGGCCACAAAATGACGGCGCATAAAAAAAGTGTTTATCAGATAATGCGGTCAAAGCGGCAAGAGCAACGTCAACGTCAATGGCAACAATCAAAATCATTCGCCATGTCCTTGCAATAACTTGTGCGTCAATAAATTTTGTGATGTGTGCAGCGCAGTCAGCGTGCGACTGCAGCGGCGACGCCGACTGCGACGGATGCAGCGCATCAGCAGCACGCCATGTTGTTGATGGCGGCCGTAAAAATGGCGACCATGCAATTTCCGTTGCACTAAAAAGCAGCGCAGTGGCAAAAGTGACACACACACACACACACACACGCACACACCTGACATAATGAGTGTGTGGCATATGTGTGCGAAGGCTCACACTTCACATATACAGACATACGACAGCGCAACATTGCAACAAGGTCACGGCCAGCATCCAAAATATGGGCAACTGACCACACGTTCACACGCACACACACACACGCACACACATGTGTCCATTTAATTGTGTAATTAAGAAGCATGGCTTCGCCCTCACAAAATGACCACAGCCACATGCCACACCATGCCACAGCACGGCATGGCAAAGGACGGCACTCAGTAATCCGCACTCAGCACTCACCTGCAGCCGGCAAGCAGGCATTGCCTGTATATCTCCACAGATGACTTGCCCGTCAGCTGATGACCCGTTAGGTAGGTGTTGTGCGAGGAGTTGATGAAGTAATGCGACATCGGTTGATCCATATCATCGCAGAGATCGAGCTTGTTGGGCGCCATTATGGGATTATCATCGCCCATCAGATATCTGAAATGCGAGAGGCAAGAGAATAAATTAGAGTGGGTGTCAAATATTTGGAGAGAGCAACAGGGAGAGCGGAAAGATGAAAGGGAATGGATAGATATAATGAAACAGTAAGAGAGAGGGAAATGTAGACAAATATCTAGTATGAGAGGAAATATAGATATAGAGAGAAGGAGAAGGATGGATATATACATATACAGAGTGAGAGGCAGATACATAGAAAGAACGAGAGAGGGGGATAGATACAGTGAGATGGAGAGAGAAAGAGGGAGAGGGACAGATGGATAAGGAGAAAGAGAGAGTTAGATGGAAATAAAGAAATAGAGAGAGAGCGAGAGAGAGAGAGAGAGAGAGAGAGAGAGAGGGAGGGAGAGTGTGAGTGGTATGGAGAGTGAAGAATAGAGAGAGAGAGGAAGATTGAATTAAAATTGTAAAAATTTAATTGGCTTTTAAGATTGGTATAAATGTATGTTTCTTAACTACATATATGTATGTAGTAATTATATGTTATTTATATTATATAAAACTGTTTAATTTTCCATTTGAAAACATGCTGAAAACTAACATTTAGTGCTCTCTATTATATTCATGACCCAAGCTGTACGTAAGTAGTTGCCCTGATTCAAGTTAAGATCTGGGAATGATTACATTTTTATGTTTTTTTGTAAAAACAACAATCGATATTTCCTTTCAAATAATGAAAGACGTAGCATTTAAAATCATTTTGCCATAAACTTATCTCGATAAATCTTTTCCTTTCCTTGCCTATCAAACTTCTCAGTTTCCCTTAAAAACCTCTGTCATTTTGCTCTGCGCAAAGCTATTAATCGAGTAGCTCAACACGTTGGCCCACATGAAGCAGTTGTATTCGCTGCGTATTTTTCGCTATTGTTGCATGCATATTCTTTTAATATTATTTTGCATATGTTGCATGTGATATGTGAAGGACACAATGGCGCGCGTCCTTCGCGCCCGAGCAACAGTGAAGTGTGCTAGTGGCTGATGATGATGATGATTGTGATGATGTTGTTGTCGTCTTAGGCCTCGCGTCATATGCAAGCGGCGCCCTCTTGTGGGCTATAGAGTGCCGTCAAGTGCCTATAACAGGCGTTTGGCGAGAATGATAAACTGTCAGGCCCAGGCGCAGGGCCTAAGGACGTGCTAGCCAGCGTGTGGGGCCTCCCTCAGTGGGTGCTTACCTCAAAAAGCCATCCAAGCTAAGGTGGCCCTTTTGCGCGTTGAACTTGTTGGGCTCGTATTGCTGGATGAGCTCCTTGGCGCGCGCATTATTCGCATAGGGATAGAGAATCTCGTTGAGGCGCGGATCGCGTTGCGTTTTGTTAAGGAACTCCACCAGCTGCGCTACGGACATGCATTTGCGCTTCGCATTGCCCACGCTGCATAGATATGGAATTGGGAATTGGTTAAGTAAAATCAGAGAAGAAGAAAACTGAATTGCAATCCAATTGATTGACTCAACTGTACTCACATGCTATCGAATAGCCGCTCCACCTCGGAGCGCTGCGTCAGATATTTGTACAAATTATAAAAGTCCTCAAATTGAAATTTCGACACCGATATGCTATCG